CACCCTGCTCATCGTGGGACCCCCCAGGCCAGCATCTGGCAGAGTGGGCAGGCAACGTGGAACCGGGGATAAGGACGTGGCCTTTCCACCTTCCAGTTGTGACCTGGGGCCCAGCATCTAACCGCTCCGAACCTTCCCTGCTTCCTCTCCGGGATGGGGCTCCCCGCGGGAACCTTGTGAAGAATCAGCCAGATGGTGCCTGTGGACTTCCCGAGGGCCGGGCATCTGGGCTTTGCTCCCGGGCTGTTGCTCCCTAAAAGTAGCTGCTGACTCGGTGGTTGGAAATGTGCTGACTGTGCGTCACGGCCCTCAAGAGCTTCGATCAGCTACCGGGATGGCAGAGGGGCCCCGTGGTACAGAGGAAGAGTGCCACACCCCGGGGACTCGGATTTCCATCCCACGGTGGTGACTGAGGTTGTAGAGTCCGAACATGGCACTATCACTTCTTCTTCCTCTGTCATTAAACCTCTTGAGCCATTTGCCCATAAAAGGGGGCAGCTGCCATGGCTGGACTCATGATTAATGAGCCAGAACATGCCTCCTGACTGTCTCCAAGGAGTGCGGTCCGTGGAGAACAGCCTTGGCCTGCCCTGCCTGGCCCTGCCCTCGCAGCCCAGCCTCCAGGCGGCGCTCAGCCAAGGTCTGGGCGGCAGGAAAAGGGTCCAGCAGCGCTTCTGCCCGGTGGCCCCTCCCAGGCCCCCAAGGTGGGGCTTGGTTCAGTTGGGGCAAGAGGGTGTGGGGCGGGTCTCTCTGAGGGAGGCAGTATCTAAGCGATGGGGTCCTACTTGTCTTTGGTCTTCCGCAGCTGGCAGATCACCCCGTGGCCAGGGCCGACTCCAGGCTGGAACACCCCTTTCTGTCCCCCCTTTTCGCGGTCATCTGTGGAGGAGTTGGAGATGGTTTGCACAAAACCCCTTCTTCCTTCTTGTTGAGGCTTGAAGAATGATCACCTTGGTATGATGAGCTCCTGCTTAGCACCTGGCACCGTGTCGGGAGTCTAACTCATGGAGCTCAAACAGCTAAACCCTCGCTTGGTCACGTCCCTGCCTGCAGCCCCTCCTGCTGCCTTTCTCAGGCCGCCCTGTGTAACCCCCTTGCAGTGACCTATTGGCAAGTTCTCACAGGTGCCGAGCTCGCAGGCCACCCGCTTAGTTGCTCTCAGCAGCACCCTGAAGATAGGTACACTGTTACCTTCTTTATTGCAGCGTAATTCCCACACCATTAAACTCCCCCTGTGGGTCACGTGGAAACCGTTTAGCTCTTCCAACATCCGCCCGACTTTTCAAGTGGCTGCACCGTGTCCCGTTCCTGCCAGCCGTGGATGACTACGGTTCCAACTTCCCCGTATCTCCTTCAACACTTGTTATTCCCTTTTTTAAAATAGCCGTCCTAGGGGGTGTGGATCCCATGTCACTTTTGCAAGGCAGAGAATTGAGGCTCAGAGAGGCCCAGTGACTTGCCTAAGGCCACACAGCCAGCAAGTGGTGGAGCCTGGATTCGACTCTCAGACTTGTGGTCTTTCAAACATTCTTTCACTGAGACGTAACATACATGCAGAGAAGTATATATTGTGTCCTGCTTGATGTCTCTTAACATTGTGCTGCCCTCAACCCTAATCAAGACCTACAACGGTGCCGAAGCTCCAGAAACTCCCTCTTGGCCCTTCAGGGTACCGTCCCCACTCAGGGGTAAGCAGTGGTGTGCCTGCCCATCCTGGTTTTCCCGGAACTGCCCCGGCTTTAGTGCCGAACACCCAGGATCTCAAGAACGCACGCCCCTCAGGCTCAGGCAAACCACACAGCCGGTCACCCTCGTAACCAGTACCCTGACTTCTCTCAGCATGGAGTACGTTTTGCGCACGTGTGAACTTTATATAAACGGAAGCGTATAATCTGTGCTTCTGTGTCTAGTGTCCTTTCCTCAGCCTTTGGTCCGTGCAGTTAGTTCATCTGCGCGCCACGTGTCGTTGCCGGTCTTTCTTTCTCACCGTTGAGTCGCACTCCACCGGGTGACGTGGCACACTTTCTTCCCCCCGTTCTTCCGCTGATGGACACCTGGGTGGTTTCCATTTTGTTCCGGTCCAGGGCTGGGTCGTGCTCAGGCAGCATGTGTGTCCAGCTCTCCGCGAGAACGTATGTCAGCCCTTCTTCGTGGGAATAGGACCGCTGGTCGCAGGGGACCCGGGCTTCCAGCTTTAGCCGATAGCCGTGCACGGGTTTCCACAGCGGTTTAGAAGTCGAGGAGCATTCCAGATGCCCTGTCTCTATGCCCGACGCTGGTCACTGCCTTTGCCGTTGGAGCCGTCCTGCTGGCTGGCTGGAGGAGGGGGTGGTGTCACAGGGTGGTTGACCTGACTTCTAATCACCAGCTGTTACAGACAGAGGCCAGGACATGTACTCTGAAGGCCTCAGTTCTCCTTCCAGCTCTGCCTGAATAGCTGTGTGTGGTTGGTGAAGACGTGTACCTGCTCGGGACCTTCCTTGGATGTGTCACGGGGCAAGACCTGCCTCCCGGGAGGGCCGTGTGGGTTCCCCAGGGCTGCTGGAGGTGGGGAGAGCCGTGCAGAGGTGCGGGGTGGGCAAGGGGAGCCAGCAGGGTTGCTCCCAGGCCGGGAGGTCCTGACAGTAGGGTAGAGGAAGGGCATCCGGGCCTCAGGGGGAGCCAGGGCTGGTCCCTCCATCCAGCCTCCCTTCCAGACTCACTTGGTCAGTTGCTCAGCTGTCAGGGGGACCCAAGGGCACACGTGAGAAGTGCCAGGCCCTGAGAACGCAAATTTCCGTCCATCAGAGCCCCCCGTTTTCTTGGGTCATCTGTCTCTTCCCTGCCTCCCAAGCTGCACGACTGTAGGGTCGCGCCCCCAGACACTGGGCACTGGCTTGCACATGCGAGGGGTTCCACGTGTTGAGTGATTGCACAAATTGAGTCCCGAGGTGACCGTTGCACTGGCCACATTGCATGTGCTCAGTAGCCCACAGGAGGCTACCACGCAGGTGCAGAGCACTTCCCCCATCATGGAAAGTTCTGTGTGACAGTGCGGATCTAAGAGCCACTTGAGCCACACGGCCCTTCATTAAGTCCCCTACCACCAAGAAAAGACGATCAAACAAAAGGCCATAAGACACAAGAAGGGTGTGTTTTTCTCCTGAGAGATGTTCTTGCTCAAAACCGAGTTGCCTGTGCTAATAAAAAAAGCCTGGCGTTGTGGTTTCACAGGCTCCTGCAGAAGAGCGGTAACCTGGTGAGGTAGGGGGTGGGGACGGTACATGGGCAGCATTTGGCCTTAAGACGACAGTTGGAGAAGCCGTGCAGCCTGACACAGCGTCTCCGAGTCGGGGGCCAGGAAGGGGAGCGGCGGGCCGCTGTGTGGACGCTTCGCGGCACCAAGAGTGGTACTGGGCGGGGGGTGCAGCTCGCCAGGAGATGGCGGCAGGGACAGTGGCCCTGGGGCAACCGGAAAAGCTTAAGTCACGTCGGCTATCCCTGGTTTATGGAAACACGGGGAGGTGGGGGGTGTGAAAGCCACTGGAGGAGATTTGCTCCGGGCCTGGGGCCCAGACTGACCCACGTAGCAGCGAATTGTTACCGCCGCTTTGCTTTTGCGGTACAGCTTTCCCTTTGTGGGATTAAAGAGAACATCAAAATATTTTGACAGGCCTTTCCCAAATGAGCCCGTGTGGATTTCTGCCCTCGACGCCCAGTGGGGCCGTAGGTGGCTTGGGGGCCCACAGGGCGGGGTGGCAGCTGGCGGGCAGATTCCAAGACCCTGGTGGCGCCAGATTCCGGTCCTGGCTCCTTTGTGCATGGCGTGCGTTCGCAGTGTGCGCGAGCCCTTCGACGTGCACACCGGAGTGTGGCTCCGGCTGGAGGAGCTGGCAGAGTGCGGGGTGGAGGCCACCGTCCCCGGCGGTTGTGGGATTGAGTCCTGGGTGTGTCTCTTAAAAGCAGGGGTCCGTGACACGTCAGCACCTCTCTGGACCTGCCTCGTCTGTAGCATCCGGATAAACAGGGGTAAACACGGCCCCCCTCCAGGGCTGCGGCATGGTCAAGTGGGAGAAGACGTGTCCTCAGCGTGGTGCTGGCCACGTGCTACCCGCTCGAGGCGTGTTAACCAGGGGCACCTGTGCCTTTCCGTGCGCGAGGGGCTTCACAGGGCTGTGTTTGCGGGGCACACGTCCTTCCTTATCACCGGAAAAATATGCAGCAGACCGTCCCCCCTCCCCCAAAGGGGGAAACCACCCAGATGTCCCTCGGCTGCGAAGGAATAAGCCACACGTGGCCTGTCCCTTCAGCGGGACGTTATGCAGCCATAACCAATACATGCTGTGACGTGGGTGAACCTCCGGAACCTCCAGGGAAAAGAGCCAGCGAGAAGGGCCACGTGCTGCGTGATTGCACTGACGGGAAATGTCCACAAGAGGCCAAGCCGCGGGGACAGGTAGCAGACCAGCGGCCAGCAGCCCCGTGGGGGAGTGACCGCTTCGTGGGTGCGGAGTCTCCTTTCGGAGCGCTGAGAATGCCTTAGCACTGAACTAAGTGCCATGAAGTTGCACGACACTGTGAATGTGCCAGCGGCCATTGCGTTGTATGTTTTAAAGTGGTTAGCGTTTGATTTCATATGAATTTTATCTCAGTTCTAGAAAGCAGCAGGGGGAGGTGAGCTAAAACCCACTCCTCTGATCCGAGCCGTTCTGTGGTACTACCAGAGGTAACAGCGCCGTCATTATTACTGTTGTCGTTGTTGTTGACTGTCCAAACGGGCCGGAAGAGGCTTCCCTATCCTCTGACCTGACATCTGTCCTTTGAGTCCAGGGTGTGTGTCCAGGGGGCAGCGGGCAGCAGCAAACCCGTCCTCATTCCAGTGGGACGGTGCCATGTGGAGTCGGGCTGTGCAGAGAGGGGTCTCCCTCCACGATGACTCAGGCAGCTTCCATGCAGGGAGAGGGGGACCTGTCTATAGCGTGGCTCACCCAGCAGGGTGCCAGGGCGCCGACCC